GAGCTCTGACGCGCCTCTGAGGCCTCGCTGCGGCCCAGGCCGCCCACTAGAGGGACGACTTGTGCCTTCGCGACTGCGGGCCGAACGGACTGCGAGCGCCCCAGGAGCCGGGCCTAGTCACGGCTGTTAAGGGAAAGGAAGCAGGAGTTGGCGTGGGCCTGGGCACTCAGGTGCGCCCTAAATGGCTCTGGTCATCGCAAGATATAAGGACTTGCTCGCAGGCTTGGAGACGTGGGGCGCAAGCGAGACATGTTGCCTCTGGGGGAACCAAGGGAGGTGCGGGGAGCGGAGTCGAGGGCTGGTAACCTCTCAGGGTGGACTGGCGGTTCGTGGGCTTACGGGGGAAGCTATGGCTGCAGGGCAAGAACTTGGAGAGGCGGGCAGAAGATTACGAGGGTGGCCCGCAGGACTTTCCAAGAACCTGAAGCACCTGGGTCTGCAGCATTAAGGCAACAGGGAGGTTGGAGTGCCCTGAAGGACTGCTAAGCATGGAGAAGTTCCTTCTGAAGAAACCAGGAAAGAGGCGACACTTTCCAAAAGGACTGGGACTGACATTCAGCTGTGTGCCAGGCCCTGACTGATCCGGACACTTGGATGAGGAGTATGTTTAGTGATAAGGCAATGAAAAGAGAAACGGTTCCAGCAGTTTGGCAGGGAGATGGAAAGGAAACTAGGCCTCTATCTTAAGGAGGAGTAAAAGAAAGGTTTGTTTTTTTCTTCTTCCAATTTGAAAAGGAGAGCTCAAGTAAAGAAGCCAAAGCAGGGTAGAATAATTTGTAGTGCGTATCCCAGAAAAGATGGGAAGTGGGGAGGAGGAAATCCAAGAAAAGGGTGTTTTATCCAACAAGACTTAAAGGGTGAATAAAGATGGAAATATTTGCCGGGCGTTGGTGGCGCACGCCTTTAATCCCAGCACTCGGGAGGCAGAGGCAGGAGGATCTCTGTGAGTTCAAGGCCAGCCTGGTCTACAGAGTGAGTGCCAGGATAGGCTCCAAAGCTACACAGAGAAACTCTGTCTCTAAAACCAACAACAACACAAAGATGGAAATATTTCTCCCGTGTGGTAGTGCATGTGTGCATTCCCAGCTCTTAGGGGGATGAGGCAAGAGGATCTTGAGTTCAAGGCAAGCTGGTATTACTCATTGAAAGACTGACCTAAAAGCCAAAAGAGAAAAGGGAAGGATTTTATTTACTTATTTGAGATAGGGTTTCTCTGTGTAGCCCGGGCTATCCTGGAACTCACCCTGTAGACCAGGCTGGCCCTAAAAGAACTCCAAGATCTGCCTGGCCCTGCCTTCCCGATGCTGGGATTAAATTCACCATGTACCTCGGGACTTTTTTTTTTCTTTTTTAAGTTGGGGAATCATGTATGCTTCCACATATCAACTACCAGGATGACCCTACAAGGCACCCATACAGGTAGATCCTCTGTCTTTTAAACTTTAGCTACAGTTGGTTCAAACTACCATACCGTAGTGACATGAATGCCTGTAGTGCCAGCATTCTACTCCTGAGACAGAAGGCAGGATAGTGAGGAATGTAAGGTTTGCCTTGGCCATGGATCCACTTTGAGACCAACTTGAGCTACATGAGACCTTGCCCTTGCCCCCCCCCAAAAAAAACCAATAAAACCTATACCACTTAATATAGGAAATAGCACAACCTGCATAGCTGACATTATCTCTAGAAGTTTGTGAGGCACTTGATTTTTTTTTTCTCCCTAAATATCTTTGGTCCCAACTTCTTTATTTTGTGTGCATTCCTGTGTCTGAGTATGTGTGTGGTCATGTGTGGAGGTCAGAGGACAACTTGGGAGAGTCCTCTGCTTTTCCCATGTGAGTCCCAGAGACTGGACTTGGGTCATAAGGCTTGGTAGCAAGAGTCCTTGCTCACTGAGCAATCTCTTACCAGCCCTATTCCTAAATTTGTTTAAAAGCTTACAAATCAACAAAAAACATTTCCCTCTCAGATTTGTTTCCATTCCCTGGTTATCATTTCATTTATTCACTTCACTCCAATAATGCACTATACCTGTGAACAAAATAGCCAGGATAATAAGATGTTAAATAAACATGAGGGTTGGTTCTGTTTTGTCTTTGTAGCCCCTCACCCATGTTGAGGGGCTGGAAAGATGACTCGGTGGTTAAAAGTATAGACTGCTCTTGGGGAGCACCTGCTTGAGTCCTGCACCCACATCAAGCAGCTCGCCTCTGGCCTCCTCGGGCACTGGTATTCATGTGCTTGCATGTGTGTGCAAACACACACACACAGTTAGAAATAAACCCGAGAGATAGCAGTAAAAATCACATTGAGGGGCCAATGAGATGGCTCAGTGGGTAAAAGTAATCACTGCACAGTGTGAGGCCCAAGTCTGACTCCCCAGCAGCCACACAATCCAGGCACATGGTATATTTGTAATCCTAGCACTCCTGTGGGTAGGTGAGAGCCAGAGAAAACATAATCCTTGGAAGATCAGGGGCCGACTAGCCTGGCCAATACAACAAGAGATCTCATCTAAAGTGAGGAAGGAAGATGAGAACCAACACTGGAGATTATCCTCTAACCGCCACAAGCATGCCATGGTTCCAACTTGCCCACACTGTCACAGAACACACACAGATGAATTTGTCACATTGCACATGCACACCAACTTCAAAGAATTAGGATTTAGGAAAGGCAATCAGAATTAGATCTTTTAGGTGTGTATAGGTCTCTAACAATCAAAACGGCCTAGGTGTTTACCTAGGGACAGAGGAGACTGTCCCAGGTAAAGGAGATGGTACAAAGTCCGAGAATACCC